AAAAAAAAAAAAAAAAGAAGTAGCAAAAAGGCTTCTCTTAATATCGCTGGATGTCTCCGAACAAACCTGCCAATCCCTATGTCCACAGACCTCTTGTCTCACCTGCTGAAAATTCAGCTGAAGTCCCTCTGACTTCTCTTGGGGCTTGATGGACAGGAGGCAGTTTCCTGCAAAACAGGATCTCTTATCAACTTACCCACCAATTGTCCCAAAAGCTCAGCTTCCTCTTCTCCTGGCAAATGGGGGTAATGTCACAGAACCATAAATGTCAGACCTGGTAAGGAACTTAGAGTCTGATCCACACCCTTCCTATCTCAGAGGAAGAAACAGACTCACAAAGATGAAGGGCCCACCCAAGGTCACAATAAAAGCTAAAGGCATAATTGGTGTGACAATCCAGGACTCCTGGCACCTTGACCTTTGCTTTTCATTATCCAGCCTTGCAAAGAAGCCCCATAGACCTTTGCCCTCCCTGCCACATTAGAGGCCCAAATGGAGATCCCTCAATGGTCTGGATTTCTGGCTGAGTGGATGGCTCTGGAATCCCTTGGGTAATTCCCCTTCAAGGCCCAGTCACTCACCGAGATGGGCCATGAGCTCATCTGATGTGATCACTTCCTTCTGGGGGGGCAGCTTCACCTGGAGGCAGAAGAGTGATTATGTGTATGCTCTCCCTCACGGAGCACTGAAGGAGGAACCCACAGAAAGCAGGGGTTGGGGAGGCTCCACTGGTAGGGTGTGAAGAAAAGGCTTGCAACTGGAGCAAGGAAATGAATGTGAAATACCACAAGGCATTCCCATTTGCTAGGGAATGGGAGACACAGGAGTAGGATAAATCTTTTTTTTTTAGAAACATCTTATCTCATTTGCTTAAGATTGAGAAATAGGGAGAATAATCTGAAATTTTTTGACTGGTTTGAGAAAATCAGAATGACCAAGGAAGTGGGTCAGAGAAGAGTACTCCCAATATCTTCCGAGCCCTTATCTGAACTCTCTTACCTTCCACTGAAGAAAGAGGATGTTCATGATGGCAAGAAGAGGGCAAGGGCCATTGGTGCTCTGAGTGATGATGGGTGTTCGTTCTCCCTTCCAGGGGATCCACTTTACACAGTAGAAATCTAGCTCAGGCTGTCGGGTCCTGGGGGACTGAGGAAGATCCTGGGATGTAGAACATACCCCCACTGTCTCTGTCTCAGGTGATGTCTCATGGGCTGGAACTGGTAGATCTGAGCTAGTTTCAGGTGGAGGGGACTCAACGTTATCCCCATCCTGGACAGGCAGCAGAGCTTGGCCTACTGGCTCCTGTTCTTCAGCTGCCGCATTAGTCTCTCTTGCGTCCTCATCCTGAGGGTGTTCATCTGGTCCCGACAGGACCTCGTGGTTTTCAAGGGTGACTGCTTCTGCAATTCTGGCCTTACCAGGAGGCGGATGCTCAGGCTGATGTTCCATTTTTGGAAGGGAGTCAACTAAGGGGCACCGAAGGTGTTTACTGACCTCAGGTACTTGCCTAAGCCAGGCTTGGTATACAAAAGAGGAACTTGTCCAATAAGAAGAAAATCATTGGGCTGGAAAGCAAATGAACCCAGAAAAGTCTTGGGAAAGGGCTGTAATGTGGAAGGCTGGCTATTGTCTGTGCAGTCACTCCTGGCTATGGGTAGCACATGTCTTTCTCAGCTTGTGTAAACAGAAGAGTCCCAGGCTGAGCTCTTTCCACCTCTAACTTGTTGTAACCAGATGAGACCAACAAGGACAAGGGGCTTCCAGACTTGAGAGGGACAACTCTGGTGGGATTGAAGATTTGGGTGGAATCCGCTTCCCTAAAACAGATAGTGACAGAGAATGTGGAAAAGACAGAGAACAAGAGAGTGCAAAGGAGAAAGCCAGAAGGGAAAGAGACGGAGGAAAAAATGTTAAATCTATACTAATGGCTATTAATATAACGATCTTTAGCTTACCCTGTAATAGGCATCACATCAGCAACCCCCACCACAGCCAGGACAGGGTAATTCTCTGCCCTATACCACGCCCTGCCCCTTCACAGAGCTTCCTGAGCACACACAGGCTGCTTGTATCCTTAGGGTTACCTTCTCTCTGCCTCACCCCCAGTGTGAAAGATGAATAGTCACATAGTGCTTGGGGTGAAGAGTGGAGGAGGTGCAGAGTCAGTATCATGCTCCTAAAGGTGAAATGCTGCTCAGGAAGGGGAAGTCTTTCTCCTCAAAGGACTCTGCCAAACCTTACACAATCCCAAACCACAGCAAAAAGATCTTGGGAGGGGCTTCCTGTAGGCTGGAGAGGGGAAACGTAGGTCATGGGGGACTTGAACCAGAGATGGGTTCTGATAAGTAACTTCAGATCAGGGACACAGAAAGCATTCCCACAACTTCTTCCAGTAAGCTTCTGTTGACAGCTGGAGTTGCGATAGCAACCTCTCCTCAGTTTCTCTCTTTTCCAAAAACTGCCTAAACCCAGAGATGCTCTCTTGTTCACTATTCATATGGAATATGAAAATGCTGATTATTGATTTACATAAAAAATATTCCCTCAACATTCACCTATCTATGCATAAATCTACATACTTCATGTCTATTCCCATCTAGGTCATTTTAGATGTCAACACTGGACCTGTCTAACCTGCTCTCTATCAGCACTAAGCATTAAGGCAAGCACAGAAAGACATTTCATTGACATTCTGAATGAATAGCAAATGATTAAAAAAACCACCAACCCTGGAAAACATCTCCCTTCAATCTCCTTGCCCCTTCTTACCCCTCTTTAGTCAGGGTAAGAAATACGGAGAAATTAAACTAGTTAGAAATTGTGTCTTTTCTCTAGCTTCCTCCTAACCTGAGATTGTGCTTCCTTCTTGTAAACCTACAGGAATTGGGGGATAGGGAAGGCCTGAGAGATGAGGATGAGGCACATTGAAGTTACTGAAATAAAATAAGCCTGGTCACCCAAATTGATCATCCTCCTGAACCAAATATAATTTATGCTAGCTGCATATAATTTATATCCTGTTAATTTAGAAGCAGAGTAGCAAAAATTGCCTGCAAGCCTTATACTCCCCCCCACCCCCGGCCCTTCTTCCTCCCCTCGCAAACGACACTTAGGGTGCACCTCAAAGCAGATGTCCGAGCCTGGGAAAGTTAAAAAAGCTGGGAAAAAAAGCAGGGCTCATTTCTTATCTTTTCTGCCCAGTGCCAGAAATAATCAATGATTAAGCAGGGGTCGGGCAGCTAGCTGGCTAGAGGGATGAGCCAAAAGAATCCAGGAGCTAGACACCCGAGGGAGTGGGGTCTCAGAGAAATTGGGCAGAGCCAAGTGGGCTAAGTCTTAAGAGGCAGGGGCAGGAAATGTACTGGAGGGTTTCCATCCTACCAGGTACGTTCCTGGTGGGGCGGGCACAAAGCATTTCGGAGTGGGAGAGTATGAGGGGGAGGGTACTTAAACCAGGATTTCATTCTTTTCCTCCTCTTTTCTCAGTTCCTCAAGTGCTCCACTTTCTCTCCAGCTGGAATTATCCTATGATGGTAGGTGAGGGAGTTAAAATAGCCCCAAGCCCTCCCTAATCAATGGCAGTAAACAGCCAAAAGTTGGAAGAAGCACATAAAATAGGTATGTAGCTTCAAGAAGACACTCCTCTCCCCCAGGAACCTTCCTCTCCCCTTAAGTCCTGACTGTCCCACTCCAGTCTCCTCAGTCTGACCCGAATCTTCACAATTTTCCCCTCAGAATAAGTCAAACACTACCACGGTGCCCTGTCTACTTGCTCACAAGGAGAGGAGGAGGGTTTCATTAAAAGGAGGAAATGAAGCGGCCAAGCAGCATCCTCTGTACATATCCCTCCTGTCCTTGCCCCTTTAAGCAGTCCAGACTTGCAGAGACCAAAGGCGAGAGGACAGTCAGGTGTCAACTCTCCCGCGCTGGAGGGGGAATGGAGAGATGGGTGTGGGCCGAGAGATGGTTAAAACAAAGTTTTTACCTTAAAGAAGTGGGTGCTGCTCCAGCACTGAGAAGCAGGGTTCAGCTCTGGCCATTCGATGAGGGAGGTGGGCACAACGAAGGGAGCGGCCAGTCCCGCTGCCTTCCAGCTGTCAACACCAGAGCTTATACAGGTTCACACAGGTTTACCGGCGGCGCTCCTGGCTCCGTCGTGACCACTTCCGGACTCACACCCAGTACTGGGGTCACCGGAGGAGGGTGAGGGCAGGCAGGGGCGCAGCCCAGGTGCTCCCCAGCCGCTCAGAGCGTCTTCAGGATCCCTGAGTCGCCGAGTCTAGGGCGGGCACCCCAGGCCCTGACTACAAGCTGGCTTTCAAAGGAAGTTTGTGGTTTTTCATTTTTCTTCTTTCTCTCTTTCTTTTTTTCCCATCGGGATGAAGAAAAATTAGTCAAGGACAAGCTCCCTGGAGGAGGAGGGGCGTGCCCAGCACTGGTGGATTTCCATCAGGGCTTTCTGACCGGTCAGCAGCTTGGTGATCAGCAGAGAGGGAGAGAGAAACAAGGAGAGAAAAACAACAGACCCTTTCTCTTCCCTCCGCCTGCCTCTGGAAGGGACGGAGCGCTTGTGCCTCTCTGGTGAGAACAGGGAAGAGCAAGTGCCCTTGCTGAATGGGGAGGAGCAGGGCTGGACAGCAGCAGCGTGTTGGATCTGGGCTTTCGCCCTGGGTATGGCAGTCTGTTGCTGTGGATCCACAGAGGCAGGGCCAAAGGGCATGATATTTGTATATTTACTCACTTAATATGAAAAAAATTCCTACTTCTTTCCCTCTGGAACCTTCAGAGGGCTCCTTTCCAAGTCCTTGCTACATCATTTTTTAAGTCGAGGAATGAAACTGGCTGGGCTTGCTAGTATACAGGTGCAGAAGAAGTCTCAGGCTCGGGAATGAGAGCACAGCAGGACAGAACTAGCAGAGCCAGCAAGAGATTCAACACCCCTGTGCTCTGGCTCTTGTTTTCGCCACAGGCCTCAACTTCTCATCAGTCACCTCCTCTCAATTTCCAGCTTGGGGAGCAGGAAAAGCTAGTGTGAGACTGACAGTAGGAAATGCAGGGATAGATTAATAAATGAGGGAACATTTGATAATGAGGGTCCATTTATTTGCAGTACTCTGCACTACCCTGGAGCTGGAAAGTGGCAGTTAAGGGAGGTTGAAACCTAACTCTACATTCTAAAGGGTCCTCCAAACTCTACTTAAAGGGCTGACACAGGATGAAACTTCAAGCAACTCTGAAGGCTTGAAAGAGTAGTTGGAACAGTTAGGGAGGGAGGGAGCAAAGAGACAAAGTGACAACCATCCAAGAAAGGAGTGAGCAGATATTTGCAGAGGCTGTAGAAAAAACGGCCTGCAGGGCTGTAAAGGAAGAAGCAGCAGGAGTTGTCAAGAGACTGCAGGTATTAAGTGAAGAAGAGGGGTCAAACATTATTCTGTTTTTCTAGCATAGACAACCACAAAATTTGTGGTAATGGGTCAGTTTGGTAAAGGGGAGAATTAGAGAAAGGAAGATGAAGATCTTTCTGGCCATGTGTAATTTAAGATATCAGACAGATGCTCAGTGTAATATATGGAAAGATGCTACACTTAGCCTGCTCTGAGAGGAAAGTTCAGATGCCACGAAGATGCGTTATTGTGACACACATTTGTATATTAAATGAGTGACCCCTCACCCTTATTCTTGTCTGTTAAAAAAAAATAAATATATAAAAAATTTTAAAAAATCAAAAAAATGATCCACCCCTCAGAAGATTCTCCTTCCCTCAACTGCTAGGGACATTGCGCAGCTCCTGGACTACGTTTCCCACGGCGCCCTGCGCCACGCCCACCTTCGCGTCTCCGGAAGCACGTCCCAGGAGTCTCTGGGTGCAGAGCTCCGCCTCCGCCGCTAGGGGCGGGGCCACGTCGGACTCGGGAGTGCCCGCTTACGCATTTCCTCTCCGGGTCTGAGGCTGAGTTGCCGTGTGGCGGGTTCGAGTCCCGCCTCCTGACTCTGGCCTCTAGCCCTTGAATCCTGGGCGGGGTGCATTCGCCTGGTAAAACCTCTGCTCAATAAGGGACGACGGCATACCTTGAGCTTCACCATGGAGGACTACCTGCAGGGTTGTCGAGCTGCTCTGCAGGTAACGGATCACTGTCTGAGTGTAAGGAGTGGAGCACGGGGTCCAGGAAGGGCGAAGATGCGGGATCCCCGGTGGTCCGTGTGGAGGGAACACCGAGTCGTGAGGAGGGAGCTTGGGTCTGGTCAGTCTTGGAGCTTGAGAAGCGAGAACCAAGCTTATGAGCTTACTCATTCTCCCCGTTTTTAGCTCCCCACCTTTGGGGTCCGTCCGAGAACGGGGAGAAGTCTTGGGTCTGGGTCCTGCATTTGATCCTCTGCTTGCTGTCTCCTGGGCCAGTTTAGTGAAAAGGACCAGGGCTGCGCCTCCGCTAGCCGTGCCCCGCGAGGTGTGTCTGTTGCTTTCTCTCCGCCCCTCTTCCAGTTCTCCGCTCACCGGGCCTCGCTTGGCCCACTGGCCTCCAGGTGAACCTCGGGGGCGTGTGGAGGGAAACTGTGCTTAGGCTTTATTTCCTCTGAACGGCGGTTTCTCTCTGGCGGATCGAACTTATTTCTAGATTAGAGATGGTCATGGTGTTTTATTTTAAATCAGTGTTTTTCAGCCAAACATACAGAATACATCGTGCATTATTTGTTGACCCACAACCTGCATTCCTTTACCTCTAGGTTTCTCCCTTGGCCTTAATGCTCACAAATTCCATAAAAACCCCTCGCTTGGAAGGGATAAACACAAAGTGTGTTTGGAATCAAAACCATAAACATGACTCCTGAATGCTTTATGGTTTATTTTTGGTGCTCTCTTATCCAGTTGGACTTAACCAGCCTTGCTGACTGGTTATGAGGCATTAGGCTGTATCCCCAGTTAGCAAAAAGCTAGCCAGAGAGAGGCTCCAGGAAGTCACCTGGCCCCCCTACTTTGAGTTATACTGCCTTGGAGGAAACTTACTGATGGCTGACTATGCCTTTCTTTTTAAATAAAACTCTACAAATTCCCCAGGGTGCTGGTGTCTGGTCTTTAACAAATCCTAAGTCACCTAATTCCTGCTGCAGACTCAGCTGCTCGGATAAATGAATGTCCTTATATTGAATTGAGGTGAAGTTCAATTTTAACACCAATGACATCAAATATTTCCTTGTGAAAAACAAATCTGGGGAAAGTTGTTTCGATGCATAAGGCCATTTGGAGCCAATTTGTTTTGATTACCTCTGATTCCGCCACAGGGAGCTCACTGGAGGACCCAATGTATTAATAGAGTTTTTGTAGCACCATTCTAAGTGCTAAGCAAAGTTGGATTATTTTCCCCCTGATAACCCAAATGACTGCTCTCTTTTCCACTATTTGGTAAAGAGTCTTTGGACCTGAAACCTCAGCAAATAGAATTTCTTTGCATGCATCCACTCTCCAACATATACCCTCCAGAGCCTTCCCCCACCACCCAGGTTAACGGTAGATCCTCTCCAGCAGTATGAAGCTGGAAAAATACTTGCTTTTTCCAGTATTGCTGGTATCCCTCCCTGCATTCATCTCCCAAGAAGCATGATCTTGTGAACTTGTAAAGGTGAAATTGTATCTTAGAACTCTCATAATCATACATCCTTGCCAGGACCTGAAGAAATGAGAAAATTAGACTCTAGGAATGTTAGCAGGTAAACTGGTGGCAGGACATACTGGTGGATGCCAACAATTTAGACTGCTTTTTTACATTTTATTTTATTATTTGAACGCAAATAATTATTTGAAGCAAAGAAATTTATTAAAGACAGTATAGAAAGTATAATTCACTCTCAGAGATGGTAGAGAGCAGACTACTCCAATAAGGAACAGTCTAGATTGCTTTTAATTATAGAAGTAGTAAATGCACATAATGGAAAATTTTAAATACAAAAAGGGCATGAAATGAAAAAGGTAAAGATCCTTTTTCTTCTTTCCTTCTCCCCATCCCATTCCCCGGAGGCTACCCTGTTATGTTTATTTTGTAAAGCGAGACATGACTTAGATACACTCATAAGTTTGAATGTTCCTGTTAAACTATAGTTTAATTATAACTTTAAGGGAATTGTGAATGCTTGGCTTTTGCACAGGACAGAGACATCTGATAACCCAGCCAAGTCTCTTGTTGCTACCATATTTTTAGCATTTGTAACCAGAGAAATTTTCTATAGCCTCTGCCACAAGACAATAGGATGTTCCACTTTTTAAAAATCCTATTTAACTAAATGTCCTATTCATGGTGACTCATCTTTCACTTCAAGGGGGGAGAAATCTTCGCTTTAGAGCGGGGCTGCATTGCAGTTTAGGTGTTCATCCAGGAGCCTTTGGATAATGTATTGTGTGCACTTCTCAGGCATGCAACAGGAATCAGGAGCTGGAATTTACAACCTGGCATCAGTATCATTCACATTTTCTCTGATGAGAGGGGTTGTCTGTCTCTGACTCTTTGTCTCATTTTTTTTTCTCCCTCATTAACTATTTTGTATAATAGTTATCAGACTGTATTCAGCTTCAGAAGGGATGTGGTTTACTTTGCCAGCCTTAGAACTCCCTCCCCACAACCATTGAGGCCACAAAGTAAACATGTGGATAAGAGAGTCATTTCAACTAGTAGGTCTGTTTTTTTTTTTTTTTTAAGAAAAAAAGTTTATATTTATTTACTTGTGGCTCTAAGATTGTATTTCTTCCATTGGCAGCTCAGGTTTCTTCCTGCTGCTAAGTATAGCTATATTTTCCCTGAACTCTTTCTCTGATGGTCAGAAAACTGAGGCTGTTTGGCTTGTGCTTTCAGCTGGTGGGGATGGAGTGGGGGCTCAGGGTTACACATTTTTCCTAAATGAAGAAGAGAATTCTGTCTTTTAAGTTGGGCAGCCATACACCCAGTTTGCCCAGGACAGTTTTAGTTTTCACCGACGTAATCATTAATAGTGCCCCTTTTCATTCTCAGAAATGTCACCCCACTCATAAGCTATGTTAAGGATTAGGGATACATGGCCATGAAAAGATAGTGAGCTCCTCAAGGTAGAATTTAGTTGCATCTGAGAGCCACAAGGGCTGGAAGCTGGAGATTTAGAGGAAGAGGATTGCTCTAGCCTGGGTGGTTGGAAAGGCTTTATGGAGAAAGGGGGCATTAGGCAGGACTTGAATGGGGAGGGAGAGGTAAAGAAAGGAGAAGATGGAAGGGATCTCAGCTTTACTATTTACAGAGTAGGCACTTAAGTACTATCTCATTTAATCCTCCTAACAACTTCATGAGATTGGTTACGGTATTCTCCTTATTTTTGTATGAGGAAAATGAGGCTTAGGCCAGAGTCCCACAACAAGTAAGAACCAGAACTGGGATTCAACCCCAGAGTCTGATCTTTTCAAGTGGCAGTTCTACTTTCAGACAGAGAAGAACAAGTAGTGCAAAGGGCAGAGCTGGGAATGTGCACTTCGTGGTTTGCTGCTGGTGAATAGTCCAGTCAGCCTGGGGTAATGGTGGGTGTTGACGGGGGAAAGGAATGCTACCACCTCCCTTGGTCACCCCAGTTCCAAGATTTGCTACAAGTCCCAGAGTATTCCTTTTGTTTTTGGTTGCTCTCTGGGTTTGGCTGAGCACAAGGGATTAGTTGTTCACCTTCCTCTGGAGACGATTTCTCCTCATCTCAGAGCCGTGAAGTTGTATTCGGTCCCTACTTTCTGCTTTTCTGCTTAGCCTTCTTTTCATGCCAGGGACCTGACTGATCCCAACTCAGCTGCCATTTGCAATGAAGCAACTCATGTAAATGAGTTTTGGGAAGATTTTGAGGGCCTCTTTGTACCCAGCAGTAGGTCTTTCCCCCTTGCTCTGCCTTTTCTCTGTTCCTCTTACCTTTTTTCTCCAGAGTCAGGGCCATGTGGCCAGTCATGTTTATATAGCTCCCTCTCTAGAGAACATCGCGTCCCCCCTCACTGCTTCAGTGAGCAAGTTATCTCTGCAGCCACTTATCTCAAGGGCTTTGCTGTCATTTTGGTCCATGGCCATCTGGGCAGCTCTTGGTATCCAGGAAACAGAGGGGCCTTCTCTGGTATCAGGAGGAGGAATTACAAGTCATGGGAGTTACTATAGGGCTGGGATCTTGAGTACAGAATTCTCTTAGTGCTTTGGAAAAGAGTTAATGTTGAAAAAGAATCCCCACTCTGCAGTGCTGTTCAGTATGAATGGGCCTTGGCTTGTGCACTCTTGAAGTAGGCTTAGAGAAATGGGCATGGGGAGAATCTAAGGGCAGACTTCCCCCCGCGGCCATTTGCTCAGAACCCTGACAGATACCTCTGCCCTTCTCTCTAGGGGTGGGAGTAGGAGATGGGAAAGAGGGCCGTTTAAAAACAAAAACAAAAGCCTAACCAGTAACTAGATAGGGCAATTTATACCACCAGATGTCTTCTAAAATTGCCCCTTTCAGGCTGTGGCTTTCCGGTGGGGTCAGAGGGGGAGTGATAGCCTATACAGGGAAGATGATTCTGGGTTTCCCTACATTCTTTTTTCATAAAGTTATATTAGTTGATAACTGTTTCATGCTATTTTTACTCCTCTGAACCCCCTTCCTACTTTGCCAAACTCTCCTATCTAGCAAATCTTCCCTGATTGAAGAAGGCAGGAGTGTATGGATTTTCACCTTCCTATAACTCAATAGTTTTCAACTGGGGGCAATTTTGTGCCCCAGGGAACATTTTGGATTGTCTGGGGACATTTTGGATTGTGATGACTGAAGGTGCTACCAGCATCTAGCGGGTAGAGGCCAGGGATACTTCCAGATATCCTACAATGCACAGGACAGCCCCTGCAACAAAGAATTATCCAGTCCAAAATACCAGTAATGTGGAAATTGAGAAACCCTCCTATAATGAATGTGTCTCATTTTGTCTCTTTCATCCCATCCTCTTTCAGAAGCAGGCTCGGATAGAAGGTCAAAAGTAAACTG